AATATAAAAAAAAAAAAAAAAAAAAAAAAGCTATATCGTTTATTAATGTAACTAGAGCCGTCCATCCCTGTCGACTATGTACAACGCGGCCCTACACCAAGACAACCAAATCATCAGTCATATCATAAGCTACAAGATACACATGAAAGCCCAAAACCCCTTGCATCAAGACGGGAAAATGCAGCACCCTGAATTACCCTAAACACATCCTCATAGCTTCGTTCCCTCCCGTCCACTGTCACTGGGACGCCTAGGCCGGAGAGGCCCTAGGGACTGACCAGAAGCATGGCTCGGCCCAGCCGCTGACGATGCCATATGTGTCCGTGCTTCTTCATTTTCACCAGAGTTGGTGCGAACAGCTCCTCCCCGTGTCCCTTGGTGAAGGCGAGGGTTCATGAGCCACTGAACCTGCATGCGGACACTGTTGACTGCCGCATTCGTGTGGGCTATGTCCTCCTTGATGCGCATACATTCATTCATGATAGCCATGCTGGCACGAGCATCTAGGTCTGTGATAGCATGTGAAAGCTGGCTGACCTCTTCCCGGAGAGATTCGTGCAGTGAAAGCAGATAGGTCGTGGCATTGGATGAGAATACACTCGCAGTAATGTCTGCAGGATCATCCGAGTGGGCGTCGACACGAGCGGAGGACTGCGGTTCTCGGCCAGATTGGGTAGACTGTCCAACGCTTTGACTGCTCGCGCCTAAGCGTGTGGATTCGACAAGAGTGGACCGAATGTTTGCGAGCCCATCCTCAAATATCTCATTCCGCTGCTGCAGATGTCGCATACTTGATTCAAGGGACTTGAGCCGCGCATTCTGTGTCTCAAAGTATGGGCCCATTGCGACTATGGGGCAGCTTTGCTCATGTGCTGCTATCTCTGCCCGTCGGATCTTAACTGGGCATGCGTATTTGGATGCCGCGCAGGGAACCGCAACCTCCGGACATGATTCAATGTGCTCCGGCAGTGCTCCTCTAGTGACCTCTGTTTCGCAGTCGACACATGTGACCTCAAGAACTGGACAAAGCTCTTTCTCATGCTCCTAGAATACGCGTTTGCGGTCAGCATCTATAGAATTTCTAGGAAGTTCAAAGGGGCAAGCAAACCTCGTATTCATGCTCTAGAACATCTTCCTCGCAATGAGAGCACCGTCGCACTCTATGGATACACTTCTGATCCACCCCAACGTCCTTGCTTCGCGTCATCTGATCGCACGAATTATCCGGACACGGCAATAGCCGGTACCCACAGTACTTTTCAACATGCGACTGGACATGGCCTCGGGGTATGATCTCTCGGCAGCCTTCCGTTATCAACGGACATCGCACTCGGATCTCGTCGCACATGTTGATAAGCAGGCGGGGCACGCTAGCCGACACCTTCTGAGTGGGATTTCGGCAGGAGGGACACGGGAACTCGTCCGAGTCGGCCGAGCGGAAGGTGGTGATTGCCGAACTGAGGCAACTCCCGCAGAAGATATGGTCGCATTGTAGACAAACGGGTTCAACGAAGGGACAGTGGCAGATCGGGCACATAAGGTGCGAGTCGTACTCGGAAACGAGATCGAGGCTGCGGAGGTCGATTAGCTCGTCGCGCTCGCGGCTTTCTTCCATTGCCAGAAAGTCTTGTAGATCCATGTTATGCGGACTTGGAGCCTATCACGAGGCCTCAAAAAATATGCAAAGTGCCAACGAACTTCAATTCCCTGTGTTGTCGCTTCTTTGGAATGCGGAACTAGTGCGCGGGTTCATGCAGCTTTGCGCTAGATACCGAGGTAGACCGAATAGTCCAGGTCCATGAGGATGAGACTCAGAACACAATCAGTTGAGCGATCGGAAGCAAATGCTTGCAAGACATAGACATGTTAATATTTCCGAGCTGAAGAGAAGGCGGGATGACTGCGGGGGGTGGTCAAGGGGAGGCAGAGGCGGAAAGCGGTTGATCCGCACTTGTTGCCTCCGCTTGTGATTCCTCGTCTTACCCATCCCCACTTCAACCTCGCCCGGGCGTAAACATCTCAAACAGTCTGACTCTATCTTATTTGGCTGATCGGAGGTCTTTCTCCGTACTGACCGTCCAAACGCCTACGATTTATACATCTTAACAGCCTGATATTTTGATCTCACACCTCATCATGACGAACCCTTCCCAGCTATTCCTACTCGCAGATCACATCAAATTATCCCTTTTGGAGCGCGAACGGGCAATCTCACTCGATCTCGAGCCCAATTCCCAAGATGGAGAGATCTCTTGGTCTCTCGAGTCCCTCCGGGAGAGCATAGAGGCACTGGAAGCCGAACAAACCCGGCTAGCCAACTCGCATGATAGCGCAGGCGCCACCGCTCTCAAAGACCAACTCACCCCACTCCAAGCCCAATACAAAGATCTGTCGACCCAGTTCTACGGCGCAGATGGCGAGCCATCGGACAGCAACACGACGCAGGCGTCGAAATCGGCCACCCCCGATCTCAAGCAGCCGATCCCACAACATCCACCTTCCAAATCAGTCCGCTTCATGGACAGCTCCGCCGCAGCGGCAGCAGTGCAAGATGAGCTTGACGAAGAAGATGAGCGCAATCGCAGCAACCTCTTCCGCCCATACCGTGATGAGCCATCGCCGCGACCGGATATGTCAGACTTGGACAACCAGCAGATATACGACCACCACGCTCAAACAATGCGAGACCAGGACGACCAGTTGGATCGGCTGGGTGAATCAATTGGAAGACAGCACCAGCTGAGTATTCAGATTGGGGATGAGCTGGATGGCCACGTTCAACTTCTGGATGGAATGGATGGGGACGTGGAGCGTCATCAGAACCGGCTGGACGGCGCGAGACGGCGGATAGATAGGATCCGTCGAAAGGCAGGTGAGAACTGGAGCATGATGACTATCATTGGATTGATCATTATTCTGGTCATCTTGATCGTCATCCTGAAATGATACCCCGATACGGGTGAACGATTGGAGGGTGTTCTTTTATCGCTATTACTTTTCACCTTTTTTCCTTTGGCGAGCGGGCGTCTACAACTTTACGCAATATGGGACGATTGATTCTCCTTATGTTTCTTTTTTACTGGGCTCGAGGCGTTAAGGCAATTGAGTCGTCCCTAGACTCCTTGGATTCTTGATCATACTACATCTACAAAGCCTACCCTTGATCATAACCTTCCTTTCATATCTAATTATTTGCTCAGACAAAGTGTGCAGTATCAATTGCCATTGACGAATGCGATAAAGTCGAATAAATTACCTTAAGACTCCCAGCAGCCTCAACCGTAGACTGCTTCAATAAAATACATATAAGAAAGAAACGAAGGCCGTGACCGATAAATTACAAAAGGCCCATAGCTTTCACTTATTGCTTATTGTACTTCGGGCTCCCAACATCTTTCGTTCTCTCCTGCATCTCCTGGAAAGAGGCGTCACCATCTAACTCGCCGCGATCCGCTTTAACCTGAATCAAACATATTAGCTCTGGTGGAAGATGGACTCTTCTAGGGGCCAATGCTTACCCCGGCCTCGCTGTTACTAGCCAGCTCGGACTTCCACTTCCCCTTGCCCTCCACGGTGTCCTTGATGCCTTCTTGCTTATGGGATTCGTAGTGGTTGGAGAGGTCATCGCGGTCTTGTTGTGGTCAGTATGGCTGGGAGGACTTGTTTGTGTATACTAACTCTTATCATCCTCTTTCAAGCTCTGGGCTGCCGAGGAATGGAACGTGGAGGCTGGGACAGCGAAGTTGGTCCGGATAGTTTGGCGGGAGGAGGCACGGATGGTTGTGAGGAATGACATAGTGGTTATGATGTAGTGAGGCGTAGATAGAATCGTAAGGGTAACTTCGGGAGACACACGTTTGCAGGTGAAATGGAGAGAAAGTATTTGAAATCAAAATAATTGGAAGGAGGATATTTAAGAGAGGTACTTTTCCCATTTCCCAGAACACCGTCCTGATGCTATATATGACATCATTTGGTGGGTCTATTCCAAGGTTACATGTATATCTGACGAAGGGTATATGTGAACATATACATAGGTTTGACTACCTACATATGTAGGTAGCTATTCATACATAGTTACATAGTTCAGAGGATAATATATGGGAATATTCTGCTGGAGATTGACATTTGAAGCTTTAAAGCTTTGATATACTGGTCACGACTGTTGATGTAGACATCCTGCAGTGACTATAGGATCTCCCAGGAAATTGTGGAGACTTTCCGACTACTACCTATTGAACTTGAGATTCTTGATTTTGATAGTCACAACCATCAATACAATGTGAACATCATATGTATAGTACCTTGATTGCGAAACAGGAGCCCTGGAGGGTGATTGGAGGGGTGATCCTTCAGGCCAATGGTTGTCCATTGGACCATTTTGGTGCCCGCACTTGTTTAAAATCCTTGAATGTATAGATCTGCCGGGCTGCTTTTTGGGATAGTGGTTATGAGCATCCACGGGCAGTTTTAGAGCTGTGGATATACCCCTGTAACGTAACGTCATATTTGCACTATTTAGGCAAGTCACCAAATTAGGGAGCGGAGGGCCACTTCTAGTTACCCAGGTAGCAATAGAACTTTTCGAACATTGATCTCATTCACTTCATCAAAATTTCGCGCATCCAACAAGAATGGCCTTGAAAAATTCTCCTGAAACCTCTCTTATAGAGCAGCTAGCGTCTCCGCCGAAAATATCGCTACAAAAACATACTTGGGAAAACATAGGAACGGACCGACCGAGATCGGCGAGTTTGATCTTTGGGTTGACTGTTCTAAGGATGCGAAGATCAAGTCCGGAGAATTCGTGACTAGCAACAAAAATGACTATCGTTCTTGGGTTCAGTCCGAATCTAGTGCAAGTTTTCCGACAATATCATCTGGTTGGCTTAGATATTGGCTTGGTGATAGCGATAGAAGAAGCAGGTACAATCCATGACTCGAATTCTGTCTTAGCGATGGTAAAGTATCCGAATAGGATGATCCGCAAAATATTCCTTGGAAGACAAGACGGTATAATCTTGAACCCAAATGTCTCCTACCTATATTAACTATTAACTAATGTTTTAAAGCTGGATGAACCATAAACTAGTCAGTCGATCTACCCGATGCCGATTTCGCTGCCATATGAGGCTATATAAATAGGATTGCACGTAGCGCTCTATACGGTGGATCGATTAAAATCCAAATCCATACTCCAGAAATAGATGCTTTGCCTAGGAAGCACACTGCGATTGTTCGAGCGAACTGGTTCCCAAGACCTCCGTGGACTCCTACAGAAATATCACGGGACCTTGGCCTCTTATTAACTACAACGGCAAGCTTAGATGCTGAATCACCTCCAGTTACTTCTGAAGAAAAGTCATGGGATCAGGTGATACGGTGGGCAATGGCCTACGGCAGAAAAGGCTTTCTCTCTTTTGACGACCCGTTGCCATGCTTAGGACAGTCAGCACTTGGCAGGGCCTACACGGTTAATAGGACTTGCACCGTCATGTCACGAAATGGGACGGAGTGGGAATATGCGGACTTGAACTGCTTCTCCAAATGGGGATCTGATGTCCACGTATGTGACCAAAGATGTCTAGTATTCCGTTGAATTTGGCTTCGACTGCGAATGGTTACTCTTATTACTCTCCCATTCCTACAGTACCTTGATTTTAGCTCAAACAGTGATTAGTAGGAGGTGTTGGGCGCTTAACACGATTATGTCGATCATTGCAATAAAACCAAAGACAGCGCACTGCCTCAGGCTGAGCCACGAGCTGTGCCCGGATGAAAAAACTGCCCCGCATCAAATGGATATCTTTATATTCCAGCCATACGTCTTTAATTCGTCCTTTAACCACATCTTTTATCATGTCAGGTCTCGAGGTGGTTGGTGTCATCGCCAGCATCATCCAAATCGCAGATCTTGGCGCTAAATTATCCGTCAAGCTCTGCACTTTCTACAAAACAGTCAAAGTCATAAACAAGTCAATACAAGAGCTTTCTAGCGACGTTTCACTTACCTGCAGCATTCTAAACGAGCTCGGCAAGACACTCGAACAAGATGACCAGACAAAGCTTTGTTCCAAACAGGCGTTTTCCACGGCGCAAGAGGTCCTACAGCAATGCAAGTCGGTATTCGAAGAAATCGATACCGCAATCGAAAAGCATAGCCAAGAGAATGAGAAGGGTCGCCTGGTGCGACAGGCCCGAAAAATCACGATCGCATTCCTTGGACCGGACTTGGATGTCCTCAAAAGTAATTTGGAGAGGCTGAAATCGACGACATTGTTGATGCTGCATGTCATCATGTATGCGGGACAGCTCCGCAGGTGAGGCCGTTTGCTTGATTATCACATTACTTGTTCTAACTTTGGCAGGACAAATATGAAATCTACTATGGCCAATCAACGTGGTCTCATCCAAACTCTTCTAGAAGAGAAAATCGCGAATGATGCCAAATTCAATAACCTTAGGCAATCTATCCAAGCTGTTTCTATGCCCAAGGACGATAATTCCTTTCAGCCGTCAATCACAGCCTTGAGCATCGATCCACAGCCAACTCCTCTCTGGAATGAGGTGGGAGAATATTACAATCTGGTTCGAGGCCTACTCTGTCAAATCGATGCATACCAAGATATCCTGGAGCAGAGCCGCCATCTCAGAATCCGAAATGGTGTCATAAATGTGCATTCAGCGGAATCTGTTCTCTTTCAGCATATTCATGGCCAAGCGGCAAATCAACTTTTTGATGACCCCATATTCAGATTTAGGGATGCTTCTTTCCCTACAAGTCCCCAATTCAGTCAGAGTTCCCATGCCAAAGATGAGACTGCAAAACTTGGAGAATCGCCCATGAACCCAGTTCAGCCCTCACCATATGGCGCCCACCAGTCTTCTCTTTGTCTTCCTCCTACCACATATCCCCCTCCACCTCCTCAACTAGGAAACGGAGTCCTCCATCATAACCCCTACGGACCGTCACCTCAAGAGTCGCCCTACTACACCACCCATTCTCCCTATACATCGAACCCGGCGTCGGCACGTTACGCGTCTGGTGGTAAGCCCAGTTCCTTTTTTTTAAGTTGTTGGTGGGAAGTCGTCGGAGTTGAGAACTGGCGCACTCGTGCTTGGCTTTTCTTGACGTTCTTGGTCATCCATTTCATTCGGCTTATCGAAGATATCAACTAATACTCAAGGATCAGGGCCACCTGACCTCATGGCATCCGCCGCTCAAATGCAGAGACCTTATCCCCCTATTTACCACACTCCTCAATCCAGCTCACCAGCCTCGGTAGCTTCACAGCCCCATAAACAACATGGCCGCAATATGTACTCGCAGTCACCACAGATGCCACCGCAGATGTTCGGCTATCCTCCACATTCGCCTATAAACCCAGTTCAGCCCTCATCATATGGGGCCCACCAGTCTTCCCAGCAGCATCCTCTCACAACACAACCATTAGTGATGCCCCCTCAGAAAGCCCCATCCCAGGCGCCACCGCACCAATCCCCTCATCTCCCTACGTCCGGCATGTCTAGTAGCCCCATCATGAAACTCGATTCCTCCCAGCACCCCACCACTCCACAGCAAACAATGCTAAACCCTCCTCTCACGGCACCCAACAGCCACTCAATGCCAGCCAGCAATCCCCACGCAAATCTACCACTAGGCGGCACCACCTCCAGCGCGGCACCAGGTCCCATTCCCGCCACGACCCCGCTAGCCGTGCGACAAGACAGCAACAGCGTGCAGTGGGTCGCCTTCCAATATTCCCGAGACCAGGTGGAAATGGAGTACACCATCCGGTGTGACGTGGAATCCGTTATCGTGGACACGCTCACCCAAGAATTTAAAACCGAGAACTGCGTGTACCCGCGCGCCTA